ATAACAAAACAGTATACAAATATAAACAAATGTTACATAGAGTCCAACAAAAACAAAAAGCTGTACTTTCCCACCCTATTTTATCCTATTATACATATGGCAACTTTCCTATCTTGTATACATTTTGGGAGCATGATCAACAAGTAAGCATCAATATGGCGCAAAAGAACCACCACATGACGTAGGGTTCCACAACACCTATTATGGAATCGCAACAACATGTGATGATTCTTTCGGCTATATTCAGACGGCGACTTATTGTCATTGCTCCCCTCCCTGCCTCTAACAAAGACCCTGCATGGAAAGCAAAGGAGAAACAATACAACGAAGGATTTAGTTTAACAGTCATGATCTAACAATGACATAATGAAAGGAAATGAGATCTAAAATAATACGCAGTCTCATCATTACCACTGCACCCGAAAAGAAAGCATGGGATAGGAGGACGAAGAGGCGGATGGGGTTGATTTTCGGAGTTTCATATTGAGAAGATGGAAGAAAGGGTTCTTTTCAGGGATTGAGAGGAGGAGGAACGAACAGCAGCAGGAGATGAGTGCCTCTTGGGTTTCGGAGCATGGTCTCTCCCTCTCTGATTAAAGAATTTATAAATGAGCTCATAAATTTACTTTGCCTTTCCAGCCCTTCCCATTTACTGAAAATCACACTCCCTACCACTGCCTCGGCCTTGGTAACGCCAGCATTGGTTATGGGCAAAAGCGACTTTCCGAATTCGGCAATATCTGATTGGGTGAAACGCACGCGGCGAGGATCGAAGGTATTTCACCATCGGATTAAGGGAAAAGTTTAGGAATTAACGGTGGGAAATGGGGATGTACTTTTATAAATAGTCTGAATTTGTAGATTAACTAACTTTTTCGTTTACCAACATTACTCTATTGATCTGGTTTATGTTATTCTAACTTGAATCATAACCCTAAACCAAACCCTAATACACGAACCAATCAATACCATATACTCTACAACAATAACAACACCTTATAGGCTTATACCGTAACCAATCAATAACATATATACTTTAAACCATCAACACCTTGCTCCTCCCTTATACCATAACCTTCGAGACCTTATACTGTATACCAACAACATCTTCTTCTATCTCCATCCCCAACTTTCAATTTATAATAAGTGTTTCCTTTGAAATATAAAATGGAACCCACCTTGGCAATTGCTAGCATAATTTAGGGATGTAGATGAATAGAAATTGTTAAGTGATGAATTGCTAAAATTGATGATGTGGCGGTAGGGACCTCATTTAGAAATTGTTGTTCAATTTTAGGGATGAAGATGATCAATACACTAACCCAATACCATATACTCTAAACCATCAACACCTTATACAATATCGTATTTTAGGGATGGAGATGATCAATACACTAACCCAATACCATGTACTCTAAACCATCAACACCTTATACAATATCGTATACCTATACGCTGATAAATTAAAATTATAACTTGCTTTTCAAAACATAAATTAAAAATTGATACTCACTAAGTATCGAACCAAAAACCTCTACTTTATTGACTAAGCAAATAACAGACAATTAACCAATTAAGCTACATCACATTGATGACCATCTTGCATAATTTCGCTTTCTTATTAAGTGAAGGGTTAAAATGAACGATAAATATATCACAGGGGATTGTTTCAACTTCGGCGGGGACTGAGAGAGTGGAAAAGGGGTAATTATTCTACCAAAAAAGAAAAGAAAAGGGGGAATTATGAAGAGTTGACGGATTGTCTTTACCATGCCACTACAAAATCATTCGGACCAAAAACACGCAGGTTCAAATCAAACAATAAATGAAGAAAGATGAACTTAATAACTCTAACTAATTTTCATTCCATATGTGGCGAATCGCTAATGGCCGGGATCACCAACAAGGATAACCAACAAGGCAAAATAGATAATAGGAACCTACCTTGCACACACCAAATCATTTTATCTCGTACTGATAAATGTGTCACGCTACAATAATTATGTCTAAGTTTTTTTAGTAATAAGGCATGATCAGCATTTATAAGCAGATATAAAGAAAATATAAAATCGAGAAAAAATAAGACAACACCTACCCTCACCCTTTAACCAATCAATACCATATGCTCTAAACCATCAATACCTTATAACCTACCCATATACCATATACTCTATACCATCAACAACCTAATACCCTAAGCCGTCAGTACTCATTTCCTTTAACATCAACACCTTATACAACAATCGTATACCTATACGCTGATAAAATTTTACATTTTGAAAATACTTGGCCAACTAAAGTACATAGGTACTTCAAAAGTGAAATTCTAACTTTCGTTTCAAAACATAAATTAAAAAAATATCCTCACTCAGTATCCAACCACAAGCCTCTAATTAGTCTACAAGAGGTTTGTTATGTACGAGTGCATTGCATAAAGAGGGGAAATCGGTGAGAGAGTGGAATAGGATCTCAATTAATGAAGAGTTAAATTGGGCGGATTGTAGTTTACCTCGTACCGCTAAATGTGTAAAGAGACACGCTAGCATTTACCAAATCCCAAAAAAGATGGAACACAGAATTATGTTTAAATTGCGTGAACTCAATGCATGATCAGGATTTTAGAAGCAGAAGCAGATGAAAATAAGTAAAACAAATAATCGCCACTGAGATAGACAATTATCAAAGGCCCAACCTAATGACAATCCGGAACTCAGTATCCATTATCAACAAACTAGGTGTCATGGGTCATGTACAAGCCCACTTTTGAATGTTATTGAAAAGCCTGCAAAAATCAATGATCAGACCCAGTCCAACTAGAATTAGTCCTAAACGCACCGTTAATACATAAACACAAATTAAGGAGACCTCTCCATCTGATTTGAATCAAATTAGGTCTTCTTCATCTCCTTCCTCAATCCTCTGGGCGAGACGAACACTGCATATCAGGAAACCTTAATTTTACCGAGTGATAGAAGTTTCGAGAAAATGACAATAACGCTAAGACAAGATGACAAAGCACTAGCGACATGAACCCTAGGGTTAGCAAACCTCTTTAAAGGGTTCTTTTGCAAACGAAAAGTTTGATGAACACAATAATAGACATGGTCGCCGTAATCGTGTTTGAAAGAGATAGGCGAGTAAATTCCGCACGGAAATAAAATGGCGATGACCAAAACGTCGATTTGTGGATAAAAGGATTTGGGGTTCAAAACGATGATTATGTGAGGATTTCATATTGGATGGGGATCTTCTCTTCGAATGTGGATACATAGATTTGGCGTATGAAACATGATGATGTTGGGGATTTGAGATTGGATAGGGAGCTAAATCGAATGTGGATCAAATAATAAAAGGATTTGGGTTTCGAAACGATGATTTTGTTGGAGATTTCAGATTTGATAGGCAGCTTATGATCGAACTTCGAACTTAGAGGGGGCCCTCCAAGGCGAATGAGGGATCGTAGAAGGGAGACTGGAAATTGGTTAGGGCGGCGGGTCGTATCCATAGGGTTTAACCTCTTAATCGATATCATTAAATCGGGTACAGTTAGGTTGAAGTCCAATGAATAAAGCGTAAACGCTTCGTGATGCTTTTGGTAATTTTTCTTGCCCCCGGTTACCCGTACCCCGGATTTTGCCCTGGGCACCGTAGAACTGCTATATATATATAACACTAAACGCAACTACTATATCATGAAGTCGACAAAGAGACAATCATTCTTAACATGGTTCAAAACTTCTTATCCTAAAGCATCCGTTAATCCATAAGATAGAATACAATGTAATCCAAATCATTATTCTCTTACTCTAATACATCTATTAAGTAATAACTAACTAACAATCGAAACAATGAAAGAGTGAAGGGAGAGTTGAGGAAAAAGAATTAAGTTTTGATTTGGGTGGCCACCCAATTACATTTCTACTAAATATTTTCTTGAGTTGCCTCACTATTGTAGATAGGTTACAATTTAATCAATGTATTTTTTATATGTGAAGAAATTATCCTAATGGGGTGGGTATGGGTATGGGGTGGGAGAGACTAAAACCATACCGCCCCATACCCATCAAACATTTTGCGGGTTTTACCCATACCCAGTCAAAACAGGGATTCCCCACGTTGATTTGATCGGGGGCGGACGGATACCCGTAGTCATCGGTTTGATTGCCATCCCTACCACACTCATATGCTTAGCTCCATAGAGATAAAAGTATGCAAAGAAAGAAACTTGCACCCCCTTATGGGCCTGTCGACTCCTTCACTTGGTTGAAACCATGAATTGGGCTTCTGCTACGATGCAAACGATAGACTTGTCTGATTGGCTCTGACGATGGGCTAAACGACATGCGTACAACTATATCATCACCACACACCTTATTTTCATTTTCATTGTGGCATTACTCCAATAATCATAGGCCCAAGTCAATGACCATAGAGGATGGTGTCTTCTTGGATTGCTAGTGGGAGCTGCTTCATTGAGAATATGATGAGGATCAGTTAGGGTTAGTTGTCTCTTGTGTTGGGTTGGATGGTGCTTGTGGGTTGAAAAATCACATTATGCTTTGTGTTTGTGGGCTTTTTTGAGCTTCTAACTCTATAATGTTTCTTTAACATTTTTGGGACTTGATCTATTTGTAATCTCTTATGATTTTAACGGACTGTACTTTCTTGTAAAAAAAAAAAACACTAGCTAGAAGCAAGTAAAAATGTGTAGGTGATGATGTGATAAAAGGAAATTAAAAATTTAAATTTCTAAATCGGTTAATTGTCACATTTTGATTGTATCAATTCATTTAGGTGAACACTTTAGTACCATCTTACCATCTTGAACGAGTAGATGATATGACATTGAACAGGCTACAGGCCATATGTCGAAGCCATCAGAAGTTCACATGTTGCAAAGATGACAAGACATGAGAATGGGCTTTCTTAAAGGGTTTTCAAACATTTTTCTAGCTTCTTTCTTTCAGTTTGGTTCAGCCTACTCTGAAGTACCAGTCGACAAATTGAACAGCAAAACCACAAACAAAAGTGTCCAATCTGAAGAAATTCTTGACAAAGAAGGAAAACCAAAGATCAGATTGGAATTAGGAATCGGCCCCAAGAACTCACTAAACACTAATCAGACCCTCCCTGCCTAAAGTCTAAGAAAAGTGGGGGAATTAAAACAAACAAACATGCATTTCTCAAATGGGCGGGAGCTCGGATAGCTCCTTATTGTCAGCAGTCAAAAGGTTGTACCAAAAGTCCATGCTGCTGTAGTCCACATTCGAGTGGGCCAGGGCTGCCGCCGCGTCCGGCCCATCACCCTCACTACCTAAAAACGGATCGTACAACCCGGGTCCAAGTTCCGCATCCGGGCCGGCCGCGGTGGAGTTGTCGGCCGACAGGACCTCCGACCAGAAACTCTCGTCCATCTCCTCCGTGGACGACGACAAATCCTCATCAACCTTGTCCCCGCCGTTGTCGTCCCCCGTCGTGGCCGTCGTCAGGGTGGACACGTCGTCGCTGGAGCACTGCCTGAGTAAAGTAACAGGCGGAGATGACAATGTTTCCGCCGGCGGTTTCGGTTCTTGATCGGTATTGATCCTTGCCGCGGTCTTCGATTTTTGGGAAGCGGATCGTCGCTTGGTAGAAGTAGTAGTAGTCTGGTCTTCAGTTTGGTTCATGGCGCGCTTCTTCAAGTGGGTGTGCCACACATTTTTAATCTCATTGTCCGTCCGCCCGGGTAATTTTGCCGCGATCGTCGACCACCTGCCGGTAAAATTGGTAACTGTTAAAAAAAGAAATGAACTCGTAGCAGTAAAAAATAAATAAAAAAACCCCATCGCAGATCAGAACACTATGTTTGGCAACAAGGGGGGTGCAAGTTCGAGGGGGGTGCAAGTTGAGGGGTAAATTGTTGGGGGGTGCAACTTGGTGGAGGGTGTAAGTGGAGGGGTAAATTGTTGTTTAGATGAAAAAGTAGGGGGGTGCAAATAGAGTAAAAAGTAAGTAATTATATTATTATAAAATAGATTTATCAATTTATAAAATATTATCACAAAATAATAACATGAAAATTCAATATATAATAAAAATAAATAATAAATAAAAATAATTATTATATAATAATGCTCAAATATAATTATTTATAATAATAATAATAATCATTGGTCGAGCAACCTCGAAACTCGAAATACAACTCGTAACTGGTTATCCTAAGGGGGTTCTCGTGTCTAACTTTAAATTGAATATGGTCAAACTTAGTCAAACACGTTCGAATCTATAAGTTTTAACTACTTATTAAAGTAAATCGAGTTAGCTAAACTGTTCCTCTCTATCTTTTCAACAAACGCTTCTTATCTCTAATTTTCAATGCAAATTCGGGTCAATTAAGAGATATCGATTTGACTAGGCGAACATTGACAAACTTGCTCTCCGAGTCAAATGGTCAACCCCAAACAACTTCTACACTAATATCAGGCCCGGCCCAGGCCCTGTGCTGGTCTGACCCACAGCACAGGGCCTCAAATTATTTAGGGCCTCGGCCCATACACTACTCTGCTTCTACTTGCTGCTTGGGCAATGCTGCTGAATGGAATCATGGAATTGAGTACATGAGAAGCAATTGGGCCGCGGGGATGGTTCTCAAAAGAGGGCCTGTGGCAAATGGAAGACGCCAGCAAATATGAATGGCCGAATGGGCCTTTAACTCTTTATTGTTTACTTTTTTTGGCTTAGGTCGAGTAGCCCATCCATTCTAACCAAATTTTTGTTTTTTCTTCAGGGATTTTGCTTGAGAAATTTGGATTAGTGTTAGTTGATTGTCGAGTGGTCTTTGTCGAGTGGAATCATTAATCTTTGGTAACAATTTTTAATTATGTCAATTGAGACTTAACGGGTTAGTTATGTTGACAGTTGAGAATAACGTCTTGGATGTTGTAAAGATGAAAGAGCCAATAGAGGATTTTATTTGAAATAATACTAAATAAATTTTACTTTTCAATGATTGATAATATTATTCATTTTTTAATCATTTTATGAAATTATGTATTTTTATTATTATTTAATAAATTTGTGGGAAAAAAATTTAGGGCCACATTTTTTATTTTCGAACAGGGCCTCCAAATACCATGGGACGGCCCTGACTAATATAGATATAAGAAAAAATTAATAATATTAATTATTATGTAATTATAATCTAATTAAAAATCCATAATTCCCCTCCTCCCCCTTCCCCCTCCCTTCCTTCCTTCCCTTGCACCCCAATTTGGGGGGTAAGCCGAAATAGTGAATTTACGCTCACGTTTTGCACCCCCTACTGTTACAAAATAACCAAACGGGGGTAAACACCTTGGAACTTGTGTTTACCCCCAAACTTGCACCCCCTTCCATTTACCCCTTCCCAAACATAGTGGAAGTGACTGAACATAATCTTTGTAGTCACGTGAGTGAGCGGAGAGGAATAAACAAATACACATAGTGTTGGCATGAAATGGGGTGCCAATTTTGTTTGGAAGTGGAAGTAGGCAAGTAGGTTGGAATATAATTAATTAATTTAAGGGTGAACGTGGATGGGGAAATGGAATCTGAACATGAATGAATGAATGAATGATGCCGGAGGTGGAAGAGAGATTGATTGATTCCTTCCCATCGACCTCGGAAAAATCAGAGTGTCAAGTTGATGAAACCGGTGAGTGAGTCACATGGTGTGAGATGAGATCGTTGTGGGCAGAATCCAGGAGATTAGGATGCAGTAATTAATAGTAAATCTCTGAAAACCAAAAGCGTAGATCATGTGTTGTTTTTGTTTTTTGTTTGTTAAAACTTAAAAGCACTAATATAAAAATAAAAAAAATCTCTGGCCGTGGATTGGAAGATCCAGATCATAGACAGTATAATAAAATTGACTGGGTTGGAAATAAATTAATTATATTATATTATATAAAAAGACCCACTTGGTTGATTTAATTATTGGTGGGATCAATTTTGATGGCTGGGTGGCTGATTATTATGTGCTATGACTTATGACTAATAGTGTTGGGTTTCCAATGCTAGCTAGCTAGCTTGAATTGGGAGTTTGCTAGTAATTAGGGCAAGCAATTCTGCGTTAATTATGTTGGGGAGTTTCTTATGATCTGATCGATGAACGAATACATTTTTTTTTTTTTTTCTCTCTGTATTTTAAACGTACCAGTGAGCAAACGGCTTAAAGTTGGATCAAACAAAGCTAGCTAGGGAAGGAAGGAAATGATGGGTTTTCCAAGTAGAAAGAGAGATGTAAGCAAAATTAAATTACCTGTTGCCTAACAAGTTGTGCAATTGAATGATGGTGTCTTCCTCCTGAGGGGAGAAGTTGCCACGTTTGATGTCCGGCCTCAAGTAATTGGTCCACCGGAGCCGGCAGCTCTTCCCGCACCTCAGCAGCCCTGCAAACGCAATCATCTTTAATTACTTCTTTACCACTCAAATCGTGAACCACCCACCAGAAGAAAAAGAAGAAGAAGAAGAGTGATGGAAATTTACCGGCGAGCTTGGGGAGGGCGCGCCAGTTGCCGTGGCCGTAGAGGTGAATGTAATCGGTGAGGATCTGGTCTTCTTCAGGGGCCCATGGACCCTTCTTCAGGCCCATCTTCTCGCAGCATGGAGCTCGAACCATCTTCACAGACCACAGACCAAACAAAGCTTCTCTGTTTTTTTCTTGTTTCTCTCTGCCTTTGTGACGAAAATGATGAGAAGAGGAGGGTTAAAATATACGGGACAGAGGTGAGGACTGAAGAGGCGGCTTTAGAGTTGGGGCCATGGATTATATATAAACTATTTTTTTAGGGAAACCACTATTTGTCAAAAGCATGGTGCCATACTGTCCTTAATTAATTAATTGTTTTTATTTAATAAGACAAAGCCAAGGTGATATGTTTATCTCCAATTTTGTAACCCTGTTTTGTCGTTATATTATAGAGATTAAACTGACTGATATATATTCTATAAGAGTGAGCGAGCGGTAAATTTTGATCCTAAACGGTACTGTTTTTTCAAAAAAAACTCACCACTCACATGGCCAGGAAATAAATAAACTATGCATCTGTAGCATGATCATCATATGTTTTTGCCGGTTGCCGCCCATCTGTTCATATAAAAATCTCTTTGTTTCTTGCTTTTTCAACCACTGAATTAATTGTATTATCATAGTACCACGAACCATATTTAATGTCCAAACAGTCTCTCAACTGAGTATAACTGTGTTGCCAATATTGATATCAGGGAACTCCTGTTGTTTCTGTGTTATTTTATGATTTCTCTTTTACGGTGAATTTGAAAAATGAGTCATTTAATAAGTGTGGATGATTTGAGAATTTAGATACTATCAAAAAAAAAAATTTTAGGAAATTTTTATGATGGAGTATGCCAGCTGAAAAAATTTCATGTTATTACCAATTGCCCTTAATAATTCAATCCACACTTCATGTGCTTATAAAAACATTTTTAAAAGGAGAAACTAAACAGGCATTCAACATCTTAATTAGTTAACTCATCCATAATGTATACAGATTCCTATAAAAAAAATAACTCATCCATAAATATAATGTAAAATTTTAAACAATGATAAATATATATATCTTAGATAATTACCATTTGAAAATTTTGAAGAAAGCAGAAAATTTACACAATAAATAAAAGGAAAATGAGGAAAGCATACAAAGTGAAATGAGGAAGGATAGATTCGTCTTCACAATCATTTATTATTTTCATATTTACATGAAAAATATATCAATAATGGAATTTGAACTATGGTCTCTTCGAACAAAGATAAGAAACACAACCAGTTACACTAACCAAATTTGTTAAATCTTTTTAAATTACAACATATAGGAAGCTTAAATTTGAGAAATCATAGGAATTTTCCACCACGGTTAGCTAGCCGACTAAGTCTCCCGTAAATATTTCTTCTTGGTGTTTGATACTCTCTTATTTGATATTTTTTTATTCTAATTCGAGTTTAATAATTAATTTCATTGCATTTATCTTATAAAAGGAGGATAATTTTAAATCGCAACTCAAATGTCAGTGGTTCAAATATTTTATATCGAATTGCACTATTGAATGTGCGGAAGCGATGTAGAATTCTTAACATAGACCTAATTTTTATAACTACTACATAGCAACGATATTTTTGAACACAGAAGTTTTGGATGAATATGTGGCACATGTGTCTTTAATAGAGGAGTAAAAATGGAAAGGTTGAGTGATGTTGGTTTGCCGGACACAAATGGAAAAAACACTACTAATATAAACGGGCCAAATTAGTGCCCTGACCCACTATACGCATCGCCGTCTCTCCAAACTTCTCATCGGATTCAACAACTGGCTAACTTCCTCCATCTCTATTGTTACGCCAGAGCAATTTTTGAATGGTCAAATATGGAAAGGTTGAGTGTTGTTGGTTTGCCGAACGCAGAAGAAAAAGACGCTATTAATGTAAACGGGCCCCAATACCTGCCCGACCCACTAAAAACTCAACCACCGCGCTTACTTTCACTACACCTAATATAATAGTGAAATGGGAAAGGTACTTCCCATTACAAAATCCCGCATCAATAGAGAAAGTAGGAAGGATTGATTCGTCTTCATAATCATTTAATATTTTCTTATTTGCAGAAAAAATACATCAGTGATTGGATTAAACTGTGGCCTCTGTTAAAAAAAACAAGAAACATAACCAGTTACACTAAAGTAATTTTTTTAATCTTTTTAAATAAAAATCATACATGAAGCTTATATCTAAAAAATCATAAGAATTTTTCACCATGGTTAGCTAATCCACAAACTCTCCCGTAATTATTCTTTTGGTATTTTATACTTCTATTTTTGTATTTTGATTATTTTAATTCGAATTTAATAATTCATTCTATTTATATTTTCATAAAAGGAGAATAATTTTAAAATCGTAACTCTAACGTCATTTGTGCAAATATTGCATATCAAATAACAGTATTGAATGTGTAGAAGCGATACAGAATTATCAACATAGACTTAAATTTTATAACTACCACAAAACAACAATATTTTTGAACACAGAAGTTTTGACTTTTAAGTGAATATGGAGCACAATTGTCATTAAGAGAGGGGTAAATATGGAAAGATTGAGTGATGTTGGTTTGTTGAACGCGGATGGAAAATGTGCAACTAATGTAAACGGGTCTATATAGTGTCCCGGCCCACTAAAAGCTCAACCATTGTCGTCTCTCCACACCTTCCCACCGGACTCGACAACCGCCTAACCTCCTCCACCTATATTTTTACGACAGAGCAATTTTTGAAGGGATAGATATGGAAATGTTGAGTGTTCTTGCTTGGAGAGCTTACAATGACTGATGGGTTATTTAGTTTCTTTGATAGTAATGTGTGATTTACTGATTTCTTAACCATGAATTCATTTGGTTGCTTTTCTCGGTTGACTTTTGAGTTGATCAAAGATACATAGCTATACCTTTTGATGTTTTTCTTATGATACTCCTTTTCAGTATCATCATTTTCTTATTTGTAATTTTTTGTGGTTAACTTCCAGTAAACAAAGATTATTCTGTTTAGTGTTAACATATGGGATAGCTTCAATCATACCACTTTTACATAAATTTTATATGTAGGAGCTAAGATCATTACCGAATTAAACTATTCAAACTATAATGCTATCTTGAACATGTAAAACATGGTTTCTTATGAGTGAAATAACCACATGATTGCATATAAATTTTTACAATATGATGTTTAGTGATAGTGTTCACTTGCTTCCAAATTTAAAAGTAGAGTTCTAGTTACTACAATATAAAAAGCAAGAGTGATTGCAATAATTGGAGCAAATACACGGTGGTTTGATATTCTTCTCTCTGAAAGGAATAAATACATGGTGAGCATGTGTTGTCATGGGAAGGACAAACCGAACTATTTGTGTTTTTAGTATAGCCTGTTGAAATATACGCATGTCTAGACCCGACCGATTGGAAATCTCCACATGTAATTTATTGCGGGATTTTTGCTCATCAAAACCGCAAACCATGTAAGCTGCCTCCTCAATCCTTCTATTTTTCTTAATTTGCACATGCACACCCTCACAGAAAACATGCAGAGAATTGTAATTTGGGTGTTTCATTAGTGTTGTTTCTATAATATTGTATTATCTGAGGTGGTTATTTTGGAATTGTGAATCGTGATTGTATGTTCTCTAAGAAATTGTCAAGTTAAGCTATGAAAGAGACTAACCTGAGCTTCCTCTTTAATTTAGATGGTAAGAGAGCAATGACCCATGTTAAATTGATTGGGGGTTGATAGAGGTCCGAGAAACCGCTTTTGGCTTCTTTAGAGAAGCACAAGATCCTGATAGTATCTTGCTAAAGCAATTTTTTGTCATGTCTGATGTTGATACAAGCAGTTTACCTAGAGGAGAGCCCTAGCAAGTTAGCACTTAGAGTTGCGATGCAAAAATGGGTACGGTGAAAACAGTTTCTACAAAAGACCATGCTATGATCTTATATAACACGTTGGTAGAGATAGTCGTCAATTTCATTTTATTGACGAAGCCAGCGAAGAGAAGAGAGGAATCGTCATTTGTACTCTAAATTTTACAAGGCTATTACACTGATCATTTCTTTCATTTCAAATTCGTATTATGACTGAAATGATATTACCTCAAGCCATAAATTGCATCAATGGAATGGTCGTTTGGATTAATATGTACCGATGCAAAATGTGATGTAGCTGTCACGAAGGAGTAAGAAAGGACCAATCAGCGTGTTTGCCGAGAAGGATAAAAATCATGATAATGGAGAAGTTACATGACAATTGACTACTTATACATATTAATTGAAGAGATAGAAAGTGCAGGGTTGTAAGTCATTTGTTTGTTTAGTGTAGCAGAGTGATTTGGTAGGATTTCACAGTGGTAGGGGTATTGATAAAAGTTGTTATTTGTTGGTGTTACTAGGCATATGTTGCTTGCCTTTTTCTTTTGTTTGTATCTGAGATTTCTACAACTTGTATTTATATTTTTTTCTGTCATTTTAATTAACAGTTCTATTTATCAGAAAAAAACTTGCCAATACATTTCATCGACTTGATTTGGACGTTGCTGGTTTTGGTTTTCTCAACCGTGGATTCATCACCTTTGTTGTCACTGAGGTTTTTGGTCTAAAGGAAATCCAGATTGGGTTTTCTATAATTATGAAATCTCTTGGTGGCTTCCATTTTGACCATCGAAAATTGGAACCAGGTAAGCATTCCTTTGATTTTTTTTCACGTTCACTCTAGAGGCATTACAGTGCTTGGCAATAGTGTGGTTAGATTTAGGGCTAATGACTTCATTTGGATTGTCCATTAGAGTGGTTATGTTTTAATGTTTCTTTTTGTAATGCAATGAGATTATAACTTTCCATCAGATTATTATGGTGTTGTGGACCTACCTCTGTCCATCGTTGCATACATGCTATTGGGTAATATAGTCAGAATCAGAGTACCAATTTCTTAGACTACGTCCGGCCAAGGGTCCGGGTAACCAACTAGTTAAATTGTATGGTGAAATTTTGAGGAAAAAACAAGAATCTGGCTATAGCTCCTTCTGGCTATAATGTGGCTCAACCACTGGATACTGTGCGGAGCCATGAATCTGAATGGGAGGCTAATTTGTATTGTGGTAATTAGAAAAGTTGAGCTAATGCCTTAAACTATACTATTTTCTAAATTTGTTACGAATTTTACATAGCTATATTAAAAGT